GGTATTATGAGAGAAGATCATTGAGAGAGGACACATGTTTGTGGTATCATCACATAAAAAAGATCACAATGACAAGATATGTTGTTTGTGTTTCTTAGGAGATCGATACCGTACACGAAGATGGTGGTTTTTTTGTGTCTCTTAGGAGATCGGTACCGTGCACGAGACGGTGGTAAATCACTGGTTTTAGGTATTGCGGAGATCCTCATATTCAAATCCATGTAATCGAAAATACATAAAATCGAAATGTGTTTGATTAATATGCATAAAGGAAATGTGTATTTACTTTCATGTTTTAGATGTTAATTCCATTTCTGGACTTGGTCCCGAAAAAATAAATAAACCGAACCCTTATTAACAAACCTCATGTCTCTTATACTTTGCGCATTTATTTATTTCGTCCTTCACCATACAAACATATAATAAGTCCCGAATTACACTTACATGTTATGTGTAATACGGACACTTAAGAGTCTTTTACTCAGGTCTTACTAGTCATATCAGATTGCAATAGAGGATTCTTCCGGCCAAAAAATATTTCATAGTTTTTAAGGTGTTTTAACTTATCAATGTGAAACGCATGTAAATTTTTCTATATATAAATATCAATATTTAAGAAAGTGCTAGACGCTAAACAGGTGACGATCCAACGCCTAGTATCTTGAATGCCTAATTGGGATCTAGGCCATTTTTAAGTGGTTTAAGTGTTTTACAAAAAGACATAATATATTACATACATATAACAAAGTATATAAAATATCATGATTCATAAATATTCTAATTCATATTACAATTATTATCATAATTTTATAACATAATATATAAAAATATAATGATCTATAAATAAAAAATTTATATTATTTTATTCATAATATTTTAAACAGCATAAACGATAACATTTATGGTTTAGGAGACAGGAAAACCACAACACAGGCAGATGGAACCTCCTTTGCCTAAATCTTGGCATCCACCATATCCTTCTTTAAGCTTCTGTTTGCATAGAAAATCACAATACAGCTTAACACATTTCCCAAATGGAATTTCTCGACAAAGCTTTACGCTTTTCTGTTGAACATTCCCCTTTACTCCTGTAATTATAATAATGGAAGTGAAAATGGAAACAATATTATTTTTCCATCTCGTGAAAATATATATTTCAAAGTTTTTATTCATATTAGTAAAGGAAAAAGTAAAAAAAAAAATTCATTGATTACTTTTGAAAAACAAGCATCACATTTAGTGACGAAGAAAAAATGGACAATTGCAAAAATGTCACATTGGGTTGTCTATTTACAAAAATACTACAAAATATTGATTTTTTAAAGCCTAAATTTTAAAATTTTAAACCCAAAAAAATATTTTGACCTCTAACAAATCTTAAATCCTCAAAACTAAACTTTAATACAACATAGTTAATCAAAACATAAATAATATAATGAATAATATTTTTTGTAAATGACATTTTTGCAAATATTTTGAAAAAGTGGCATTTTTGAAAAATTGCATTTCAAATGTGGCATTTCTCAAAATTTTCACAAGAAAAAGCATCACATTATAATCCAAAATTACATAGATTTAATTAAGAAATGTCGTACGCATAAATTAACATAAAACTCCAGAGTATCAAATATTAACGAAATTAAAAACTATAGTTTACCACATTTATTTACATGGTATGAAGCGACAAAAAAATGGAAAATTGTTAACCATAATCATGATAATTTTTCATAATATATTATGATCATATGTTTTTTATACACCAAGGACAAACTATATCATGATAATTTTTCTTAATAAATTATGATCATATGTTTATTATACACCAAGGAAATAACCATAATAGGTAAAGAAAGTCTAAAAAAAAATTTGGGGATCAATTTCCTAACTCTACCACAAAACATTTGTAACGCAATTTTCTAGATCTAGATAGTATAGATTTATCACAAATTAAATAAATTAGTAAAACTGTTAGTTTAGGTAAACAAAATTATGTTTTTCAAAACAATTATTTTCAAAAATAATATGTTAAGGCAATTCTAAACGCATATACTAACCTAGTACAAGGATGATGAAGATAACTAGAATGGTGAACAAAACTTAAAAGATTTCATCATCTTTGATAACAGAAATAAATTGAATGGTACGTGTTTTAAAATTAAAATGAAATAAGAACATGTACTTATTTATAGAATTTTTTTTTGATGCATTCCACATTGATTAAACTAATTTAAGCTATTTACCTCCATAATTTTCGATTACGCAATTTAAGGCTTTTCATATATTTAAAACCTTTAGACTAGTTCATTCAAAATGATTTGTTTCACGATTTAAATAAAAACGATTAACAAAAGTGATGAAAATGTACAAAACGGATCTTAAGAGTGTCTCCAATGGAATTGAAAGACTCTCTATTAAAAGAATAGAAAAATTAAAAAAGAGAATTATTGGGATTCCTAAGCGCATGTCTAACTCCCCCATTAGTATGATATTGTCCGCTTTGGACCAAGAGGCAAAGCCAACACGGATTTGTTCTTGGACTTTTTTTTAAAATGTCTCATACTAATTAGAGTTGAACATCTCTTATATATTAGACAATTCTTGTCTAAACTTCCGATGTAGGATTTGGATTGATATACAAACATTCTTCCTTCAAACCAAGAACCACACAAACCTGTTGCCTCCAACCTCCAGCGAATCTTGGCACCCATCTTATACCGCTGTAATCACCAGCGGAACCCACCGCCTAACCCTCTGCTTAGATTAGGAAGACTTTCGACACAAGGCACTGATACACCCATTCGCGAGGTTACCTTTTGAGGGCTATCCTCCCACATCGAACATGCAAGCCTAACCCACTTCCATGTCCACTTTTTTGAAACCTTGGCTTTGATACCAATTGTGGGGTTTTTCAAACCTATGTCCAACTCCTTCCATTAGTATGATATTGTCTACTTTGGGTCCAAAGGCAAAGTCCGCACAAATTTATCTTTGGGCTCCTTTCCAAAATGTTTCATACTAATTATAATTGGACATCTCTTATATATTAGATAATTTATATTTAAACTTCCGATGTGAGATTTGGATTGATATCCCAACAATCTAAGGTTTTGTTCTTGGGGGCTCTCCCTTAACATCGAACATGCAAGCCCACACCCACTCCTCCAGGTCCTCATTTACTGAATTTAGGCTCTGATACCAATTTTGGGACTTTTCAATCCCATGTCTAACTCATTCCATTAGTATAATATTGTCCGCTTTGGGTCCATAGACAAATTCGGCACGGATTTGTTCTTGGGATCTTTCCCAAATAGCTGTGGGGGGTCGGATTCCACCACGGTAAGATCAAACCGGGGAAACGACCAAGTATGCAACCAGACGAGAAACGACTGCTCGGCCTGGTTACCCAATATCCGACGAGGTGGCTTACCAGACAAGTCAGCGGCATGACAATACAACCGGAATGGCGAAGCTGTGGTGTTAAGCCCGCCAAGTCTGGGAATGTCACTCGGAGGGAAATGCAAGTTCGAAATGAAGTCCATTAGCAGAGTCAATAACGAGACAAGCCAAGCCCAAGACATGGCAAGATGGGCCGAGTAGGTTGGCGCAGCCCATTCCGCGCAGCCGACTTTGGAGATAAGGAAGACTTCCTTATTTCTCTAGGGGAACTTCATTGACCTAGGACTATATAAGCAGATGTAGACCCTCTAAGGAGGGGATCCGGAATTCTTTTAGACAAAACTCTTGTATTCTTAAGCTTTACAAAAACAAATCTAACTGTGTGATTCCACCTTCCACAGTTTAATAAAAACCTAACTTCAATCTCTGGTTCTGTGATTTCGCACTTTGAAGACTCCATCCCTCTTGAACCCTAAACAAATCTAACTGTGTGATTCCACCTTCCACAATAGCCTCATACTAATTGAAGTTAGACATCTCTTATATACTAGACAATTCAAATCTAAACTTTCGATGTGGAGCTTGGATTGATATCCCAACAAATATAGAAAATGTAAGAGAAAAATGAGAAACGTTTCTTGCTTGAGATACCCATGAGACATTTGTATCTCTTTTAATTAGATGACTCGTCTGTGTACAGGCGAATAACTTATTTTTAATTTAAGCATGTGGTATTGAGTATCTAATTAGAGTATCTAAAGTCTATAGTTTATGAAACTCATTTCTACCTTTCTCCAACTT